GGGCTGAGGCGCAGGCCGCTGTGTGCCGGTCAGAGGGCCACGCGGGTGCAGCAGTGGCGCAGCAGGCACGGCAGGATGCCGCGGTTCAGCTGGTGGAATTCCACGAGCTGCAGCAGGTCGGTGAAGCGGGTCTGGCCCTCGTCCATGCTGAAGTAAAGGCGACCCTCCTCCTCGCTCTGGGATGTGGCCATAGCAGGTGGAAGGTCAGGGAGGGGCGCGAGGCGCGAGGGGCTCCCTCCAGGGCCAGGGCTGAGGTCCCCATTGCTTGTGCGGGAGAAAGGAAAGAGCAGGAGACCCCAGACACACCGGGGGCCGGGGGCTAGGGGATGCTTCTTGAGGGGGCCTCATGAGGATGGGTTGCTGGGAGCCCTGGGTCTCCATGGCAGGAACCTGGGACTACTCACCGGCAGGATGAGGTAATGTTTGACTTTCTGCATGTGGCACAAAGAGAGGACAAAGCCCTGTGGGTTCCGCTGACTCTCTCGGACCAGGAAGAGGCTGCCAGGAGACAGGGCCACATCACTTAAGGACACACAGCTGCCGCCTTGACCCAGGTCTCTCTTATCCCTGGCTCTGTCGCCCTGCCCAGTCCTGCCCCTTACCCGTCTACCAGGCCCTGCTGCCTGATGAGCCGCTGGCTCTCCTCTCGGGAAATGCGTCCATGAAACCAGGGTTGGGTGCGGTGGATGGCTGGGGTGAGGGGAGGCAGATGGGCGGTCACACGGGGCTGGCGACCCTCATATTAACCACCCCCGCCGGGAGTGCTCAGGGAAGCCACAGCAGCCCCCACCCCTGGGGACCCAGTGCAGGACTCTCACCCACCTGCACTGAGGCTCGTGCCTGAGCTTGGGGTGGGCAGGCTGAGACGGTGGTTCGTCTTCTTCTGCAGAGCAGTGGGGGACACAAGAGGTCAGGGGGTGGCTGGGGTAATACCAGTCCCTCAAGAATACTGACCCTCTTTCTGCAGCCAGGGGCCTCCCCTCATCCCTGTCTTTCGTCTTCCCGTGCCATGGAAACCCCACAGGACAAACATGCAGATGAACGCAGACCCCTCACCCTCCAGGCCTGGGCCTCCTCCAGGGCTGCGCTCAGAGCCTCCCGGGGGTTCTCGATGACACGCCCGGCGTGGCCGGAGAAGTCCATGGCCACCAGGGTGTTGTCTGAGACGCTCCTCTGCAGGCGGGATAGGATGGGGAGGGGAGGGGTCAGAACAGGACCCAAGTACCCCTGGCTCGGGGCCTGGGTGCCTGCCCCCAGCTAACACCCCTGTGCACACTCACCAAGGGCGGGGAGCCCACGCAGGGTGGGCGCAGGTGGCGGCACTGTGCCTGCTGATAATTCTTATACAGCTGCACCCCGTACTGAGAGAAAGAGAGCTGGAGGTCAAACAGGTACTGGCGGCTGGGCTGTGACACCCCCACCCCCATTCCCGACCAGAACAAGAGCAAGGCTACATCTCTGCCCCTAGATAAGGGACTTCCTGAAGCCAAAGCTGTGACTCCAGCTTTGGACCTAGGATTCCGAGAGAGCAAGGCTGTGATGCCCCCTCATTCTGGAGACTTCCTGAGGGCAGAGCCACAACTCCTCCCTCATGCCAGGCATCCCAAGGGCATGGCCAGCTCTCCCATGTCAGTGCCAGGACCTCACCTTGAAGAGGCGGAAGGCAGCCAACCAGCAGGTGCGGCTCTGCTCATCCTCACTGCAGAAGACGCGAAGCCCCTTGTGGCCATTTCGAAGCTTATTTGGCTGTGAGGAGAGGAAACTGGCTGGTCTCATATCTGCCTTAGGAGCAGATGTTGTCTTCCATCTCCCGCCTCTGTGGGGCTGGGCAGGGTGCAGGAAGAGGAGTCTGGGGGTCCCAGAGGGAGCTCAGAAGCTCCAGGAAGGATCCTGGGGCCTGAGTAGCTCCCGCTCTCTCCCAGGACAGGCCAGGCTAGGCCAGGGTCTTCACCTTGATGCAGAAGCCAAAGTCCGTGGGCATCCCATAGAGCTTGCGGCCCTGAGTCACCACATACACGTTGGATTCGTTCACATCTGCTACATACTGCAGGTGCCGCGGGTCCTGCACAGCATGAGTGAGCAGGACTTAGTACAGACAGACCCTGCCCCCTTATTACCACCCCACTAAGCCAGCTGAGGAGAGTTCAGTCCCAGAGAGGGCAGAGAAGTACCCCAGGTCACATAGCAAATACAAGTAGAGCCAGGACTTGAACTCAGTTCACCTGCCTCTCCCACTGCTACCTCCGGGGGCCGGTAAGTTGGGAGGGAAAGAGGAGCAGCTGAGGGGTTCAGAGCCTAGGGCGTGAAAGGACCAAGAGTTGTAACAGGGAAGGGGCAGCTCCTAGAAGGACCGGGATGGGGTATCTGAGGGGCTGGGGCCGTGACCCTCAAGACCTCACCTTGGAGGTGCCCTTGGTGGAGTAATACAGGCCAGATCGGCGGAGGAAGCAGAAGAAACGTTTCCAAAGCTTGCGTCCTGATCCCCGCAGCTGCAGGAAGCCCTGGATCTCTGGGAAGCTGCCTGCATTCAGGAAGTTCTGAGGCCAGAGGGGGAACAGGGTGAGAGGCCTGCAGGTGCCCCTGAAATACACACACACACACACACACACACACACACACACAGAGGCCTTCCCAGGGCCTGCCTTTACGGCAGGAGGTGCTCCATGTGCATTTATTGTCTCCATTTAACAGACAAAGAAACTGATGCTCAGGCAGGAAAAGTGACTTGTTCACAGTCACTTAGAGCTGTGCTGGGTGTTCCAGCCCACAGACGAAAGGCACAGGCTTAAGGGCCAAGAAACAATGAGCAATCCTGGGGAACCATTGATATACCATGAAATGGGATGTCCCCTCACCTGGATGAGGTCTTCGTGGGATATGCCCATGTGTGTGTCCAGACAGCTGGAGACCATCTTTTCTGGGAACAGGGAGTGCTGAAGGGAAAAGGAGTCAGGAGTCAGGGGCTGAGGATCCAGGAAGGGGATCAGGTGTCCCAGCGCCCAGCCCCCCCCCCAGCACATACTCACCGGGGTGCTCTTGAATAGCTCGTACTTGGCGAAGTTTTTCCGGAAGACGAAGCGGCTGTCTCCTCCAATGGGCCAGGCAGCCTGCACCTCCACCACCGACTCATGGTCCTCCAAGCCCCGCTCTGGGATCAAGGGCAAGAAACAGGGGTCAATGGAGAACAGCCAGGCCTCCAGGATGAGCCACCTGCCTAGCCCAAGATGTGAAGTATTGCCTCCTGGTCCAGGCAGCGCCCCTGCACCCCAGCTCACCCAGTGCTAGATGGGGGTGGCACTCCACCAGCCCCCAGTTCTCATCACTCAGGGAGTGAGATCGCTGCACCAGCATATCGCACACGTAGCGAGCCGTGGCTCCTGCCGCCACCTCCACTGACCGGCATGCCCCATCTTCGCTGTACACCTTTATGACCTGCACCCCAGGAGTGGCAGATGACTCGAGGAAGGGCAAAGGGTGGTTCTTTCCCCTCCCCCACGTGCTCTACCCTCAGGGACCCCTGAGGTCCAAACCCCCCACCTCCTCCAAAGTGGCACTGTGTCCACCCCATTCCCACAGCACCTCATGCTCCCTGCTTTCCCTTTCCCAGGACAACTCACGTGAGGACAGCTGGTGTCTCTAGGGAGCAGCCCCCTTGCACAGGAGGGCCCCCCAAGAATGGGGGTCTGTGAAGGAGGACTGCAGAGCTCAGGAAAGGGGTTGGGGATGGAGGGTAGGGAGGTTGACCGCAGCTCCTCCTCACGAAGAGGTTTCCTGGGGGTGGAGGGGAGAGGGGAGGAGTTGACTAAAAGACTCTGTGTGTCACCCAGTGCTGACAGCTCCCCGCAGCCTTCCTCAGCCATCACCCCATTTTACCTGCCGGTCGGAATGGGCAGAGGCTGGGACCTTTTCACCTCCCCAGACAGGGGGACATCGGGAGGCGGGGGAGTCCCAGGAGGGGTCCCAGGGGCCAGGTACAGGTCTTCCGGGGAGCTGCTGAGATGAGGTGGAGACAGACCCAGCTCCATGACATCTGAGGGAGAAGACGGTGGGGGACACAGCTGCTCTTGTGCCCTTGTCCTGGGGAGAGGGGCCAAGAAGACCAGGACCTCCTGACTTCATCTTGCTATCAAGATGCCCCTCAGAGTTTACACAGAACCTCATTGCTCCCCCTCTACCTGGAGTTCCCTGCTGCCTCTGGGGAAGGGTAGCGTGAGGGCTTTTTACAAAAAGGGGCCCTGAGCCCCTGAGAAAGAAGCATTCTCATCCCATCAGAGGTGAGCCAGGGAGTGGGACCCGGTGTTTAGACTCCAGATCCAAACTTAGCCTTAGCCTCTTCCTGAGCCTCAAGTTGCCGAGGAGAAGTGCTATGAGGGTCCCAAGCCAGGCAGCAACAGACTCCACGACTCCCAGCAGGTCTGGGGCTTGGGGCTCAGTGTCACCCCTCCATTTCCGAGCCTTGGGGACTCACTCCTGGGCTCTGCCCCGGGTTTTTCCAGCGTTTCATTGCCAGACCTGGTTGCCAGCGCCTGTTGTGGCAACGCCTGCCCAAGTGCTTGCCCAAGTGCTGAGTGACGCCCAGAAGGGGAGAAGGAGGTGGGGAAGGACAGGAAACAGGAGGGCAGGAGGCAGGCTCAGCTGCGGTGGGAGGGAGAGGGCTAGCCTGGGGGCCTTTCCTCTGGCAGTCCCTAAAACTTGCGTGCCTCCCCCAGGCCCTTCATCCGCCCAGCTTTCTTGAGGCCTCCATGCCAGAGCTACTTCCTCTAAGAAGCCTTCCTGGATTTTCCACAGTCAGTCTGAAGGGCTCCCTCTCGGCACTGGGCTGGGGCCCCTGTGCCAATGACTGTGCACCTGTCTTATCCACCCACTGGTCTGAAGACACCCGGACATCCCAGGCAAGGCCAGGGCTGGCCCATGTCTTATCACACATAGGTGCTACACAGGCATCCAGGACAAGTAAGGATAAAAGAGATGGGGCAAAGACAGAGGCCTTGCGTATCCCTCCTCCGCAGAAACCAAGACACTTTTTGCTGAGCTGAAATCTGGGAGGCCCTAGGAGAACTCTGTTCAGCCTCCTGCCAGCTCTCCAGACACTGGGCCAGTGCAGTTTGGTTGCCTAAGGCTCCTGGGATTGACCCCCTCACCCCAGGATGAGGCAGGTCCCCGACCCTTAAGTGAGGGCTTTAGGAGATTTGGGGGACAGGTGAGTCAGGGTGGGGCGGGACAGCACTGCCTGGGGCTCTCCATTCAACCTTGACTCATCTGCACAACTTCCTGGCTTAGGAGAAACACAAACAACCCTGCTTCTACCCACCCCACCTCTACTCCTGCCCCCAACCTACCGGCCTGTGAGGAATAGGGGAGGGCTGGGACCAGTATGGGCGAGGAGGAGGATGTGGGCTGGAGGCTCCTCTGACATCATCTCCTCCTCCCCGCCTCCTGGCCTACCTCCCACTCCAGCAGTCCAGGTGGGACCTGCAATGGGGCCCAGTCTGGTAGTCACCACCCAGCCCAGGAGGCCCCCTCACCCAGGAAGGAGAGAAGAAAGGCCCGGCCTGGATTCAGAAGCCCATCTGGAGTGGAGCTGACCATTCAGGGATGCCCCTCACTTGCTTACGCAAAATAACCCAAGAAACATGCAGTGTTCCCTCTCCTGTCTGGGGCCCTCTAGACTTTCCTTCCAGCCTTAACACCCAGGGCTCAGCTGGTCCAGGGGATTTATCCACATCACCCCGGGGGGATGACAGTCCTCCTAATTCACCCTCCTGGGTGTCCTGGCCAGAGGTGTACCCAGGAGCAGGAGTGGAAAGTCAAGACATAGATCAGACAGAGAAAGGCCAGGTGGCAGAACCAGGGAGGGGGCTCAGGGTCCCGCCAGGAAGGGGAAGACACACCTACCATCGAACATCAATAGTCAGTCACCAGCGCATCAACACCCAAACACAAGGCCCCACTCCCAGCCGCTGTCTAACCCCTGGCAAACTGCCCCGTGACTTCATTCCAGGGAGAACTAGGGGAGGGGTTGCAGGGGCTACCCCCTCCAGGAAGCTGGAAGCCAATAGTGGGGTGGTCTGGGTCCTCCCCCATCCCAGAGAGAGGAGGAATCAGAGGTTTGGAAGAGGAAGGGGAGATTTAAATCGGATTAGAGTCTGGCCTCTGTGGGTGGGAGGGCTGACTCAAGAGAGGTTTAGACTTCACATCCCTTCACTCGGTTCTCCAGACCCTTCTAAGGGCAAGCCAGGAGTGGGGCAGTCAGGACAAAAGAGATGAGGGTCCTACTCGGTCCTAGCTGTAGGGCCTGGGCAGCTCCCCCACCTCCACCCCAGTAGACCTGAATCTTTCAAACTGGGGCCCTGGGAAGGTTATATTGAAGAAAGCGACCCCTCAAATCAATCTGACTCCTAGCTGCGGCTTCCCCAGTAGCCTCTCCTGCCCGGGCGGCTCCTGCCCCACCCCTCCTTCCCGCCCTCCCGGCCTCCTGCCTCCTTGTTTACTTCCTGAATCGGGCCCCACCTGGCCGGCCTGGGCGGGAGGCAGGGCCCAGAGTATAGGGCCGGTAGAAAACAAGGCCACCTTCGGTGCCTCCCAGGGGCGGGGGAGGGGCTGGAAGAGCAGAGGCCTGGAGGTGGCGGGAAGACCTCCGCCTGGCCCAGGATCCCACCCCCCGCCCCCATCGGGATTGACTGCAGTGGGGAAGGCTTTACCTGGGGGGAGCTCTTGGGGTGAGGGCCCAGGTGAGGAGGCGGGAAACCCCTAGGTGACCCTGAGTTGGGGGGAGGGCCCAGGACCCTGAGGCCCCGCCCACACCCTCACTAGGGTAAAAACGCCCAATGGGAGTGAGGGGGGCAGCTCTTTTAAAGTTTAATTTCGGAAGAATGCTAGAGTGTCTGTGGAGTTAATTATTACAGGCTGCTTGCCTTCACAGGGGGCCCCCCCAGCAGGATATTGGGGGAAGAGGGGAGAGCAGAGTCCAGTATCGGCAGACCAAGGCGGGGCACTGAGGGGCAGTGGGGTAGGAAGGCCTGACAATGGCGGACAGGTGCATTCTCCATCCTTAACGTGCCAAGGAGACCCAGACGTGGTCTTTTCCCTGCCTATTCAGACAGACAAAGCACTCTGCCCCCCAGCACACACACTCCCCAGGCCCCGCTGTGCTGCAGACCCTCCACCATCAAGCCCTCCAACCTACCAAGACCACTTCTTTCTGAAGCCAGGAGGGACCCCGGGGCCTGCCTCATCCCCACCTTCACATCCGAGGGCAGGACCCTGGATTCCTGAGTAGGAGACGGAGCTCTAGCAATCTCGAGAATCCCTCTCCTACTGCCCTCCAAATTTGAGGGTACCTCACTGCCCCCGCGGAACCGTCTGTCTTAAAGAGACTTCGGGAAACTCATGCTGGGGTCCAATCAGACTGAGCAAGGGAGAGACTTGGGGCAGCCTCCCCTCCCAGCTCTCTTTCTGGAAATGTGGGGAGGGGCTAGTTTCAGCGGGAAAGCTGCGTCTCCAGAAGAGAATCTGAGATCTTGCTTGGGCTGGTGTGTTTGTGTGTGTGTGTGTGTGTCGGTGTGTCTGTGTGTGTTGGGGCAGGGTGGGGGCTGGGGTGGGTGCAGAGAGGGACAGAAGGAATGGAGAGGACAGGAAATGAGAATTAGGGAGACTGAGGGCAGATGGTGAAGAAGGGACGGGATGGGAGACTGGAGGAAAAGAGAAAGTGATGCCGAATCATTCCATATTGACAGATCTGCCGGTACCCACCCCCAAGATAAAGGGCCTGCTTTGGTCCTTACCTGGACCCTAGGCGTTGGTACACCTGGCTGGGGCCACCGGTTTAGGGAGGAAGACGCCAAGCCCTTAACTACCTGTCCCCCTTCTGTCCCCGCCCTTGGCCTGACATCACTGAAGGGGGAAGGGGAGGGGGAGCCAGGCAGCTGCCCGTCCGCCTACCTGGGCAGCCAGCCAGCCTGCTCCTGGCCCTGAGACGGGCGCAGCCTGGGGCCCTGGTGCGGCTGGGGGTGGGAGCAGGTTGTCGCCTGGGACCGATCTCAGTCCCCTTACCTGGAGGAGCCCCAGCAGAAGTAGTAGGACACAGGGTCCAAAGTCTGGTACTGTCTAGGGACCTCAGATTCGTGGACTTGACTTCAAATCCTCTCCCTCTTCTCTACAGGTGGTGGGAGGGTGTCCCGACTTTGGTCGTAGAAGTAGGGGGAGGCTGAGCCCTGTTGTCCAGGTTCCTGGCCCAAGGAAACAAGTTATCTTGGGCAGGTGGGGGTGGGGCCTGGGGGAGGGGCCTGAGAGGAGGAAGCACAGGAGGAGGGGCGGGGACTCCCTGACACTCTGCGCTGCCTAGGATTGTTTTTGTCCTTCTTAGCCTGGCAGTAGGTGCCAGGGGAAAGACAGTCGAACTGAACAACCTCAAGAGCAAAGATCTAGAGTCCTCACAACCTGGGAGGGAGGTGCTGGGGACTGGAAGGTCAGGGGCCTGGGCCTGGAAACAGCCCCGTCCACTCTTCCCCGTTGCCCTCCCTAAACCTGGTCTGTTCATTGGCCAATTTAGGGGGCCTGTCTGCGGCTCTGGGTCCTACCAATCGGGGCAAAGGACACTCTTAGAAAGAGGGAAGCCAGCCAGAGGGGTGGCCAGCAACATGGCCTGCCCCTTGACCTCCAGCCATGGGTTGGCCACCCAGGATGCACCCTGGCCCCCCAGAGGATACCAGCATATATCTTCCCTTCTAAGCAAAGTCCAGGGTCTCAGCTTCTCCTTCTGAAATTGAAGGGGTTAGGCAAGGTCTCATGGTGCGAGAAGAGATTTGGGGAAAGCTCTGGCCAGGTGCCAAGGGACTCCCCTTAGCACTCTCCTTCAGCACTAGGCAAACACAAGAGTGGAGAGAGGGCCTGGAAGGCTGAGATCAAAGGCAGCAGCCACCTCCCAGTCCAAGTGGGTGACAGTTGAGTAAACAAACAATTCATAAGGGTGATAAGAGGTCTGCCCTGGGGGACCATGGAGGAGTGGCTTCAGGATCAACTTTCTCCAAACTGGGTTTTCCTTGGAAAAACCAGTATGAGTGGACTAAGCAGAGAAGTGGGAGAGGGGGCAAGGTCACCTGGGCCACAGAACATCTTGTGCAAAACATGGTTGACAATTCACTCAATCATTCCTTCATTCACTCAACTAATGTTTGTTAAGTACCTACTATATCCCAACCCCATGCTTGACATTGGGGATACAGGGACCCACAAAACAGACTCCACCCTTATCTTCATGCTGCCCAATCAGGGAGGCTGATGTTAATCAAAGAATCACATAAATAATGAGAAATGACAGGTGACAACTATGCTGGGAGAATGACTTACCCAGGGAGTTAGGGGAGACTTCTCCATGGAAATGACAATTGAGCAGAGGGGACATTGTCTGTGGAAGGGAAGAGATTGGGATTGGTGGGTGGGAATGGGAGGGGACACCTTTCATGACGATGGAACAAGGGCCAAAGCCCTTGGCAAAAGGGGACAGAGCATGCAGAGGCAGAGCTGGGGTGGAGAAGGAAGGAAAAGAGGCCACACAGGTGCCACTGAGCAGGTGTGGAAGGTGTGGGGAAAGGCTTTGTACTCAGTTGCCAGTTGTGTTTCTAAAAGTGTGGCTTATGAGCAGGCCTCCAGATTTCCCCAGGCTTGTCTGAAAAACAGATCCCTGGGCCCTTCAAGTACTGAATCTTGGTCTCTGGGGCCAAGACCCAGGAATGTGTGGTATTGACAAGCCCTCAGGTGGTTTTCTGTAAACCGGGTTTAAGAGCCATCCATCCTGTCTGTCCAGACCAGCAGAAACTAGGGGCAGAGGCCAGACCCTGCGGGGTCCATCTAGGCTTAAGTAAAGGCACAGAGGAGCAGACAGGTTTATATTTTGGAAAGATCACTCTGGATGTTGAAGGATAGGTTGGAGAGGGAAGCCAGACAGAGGGCTGAGGGCTATAGGATTCCATTTATATGACTTTCTGGAGGGGGCAGAATTATAAGGACAGAAAGCAGATCTGGGGTTGGAGAGGTGGGAGAGAGGCTGACAGCAGAGGAGCTTGTGAGGAGGCAATGGAGTTGTTGTGTATCCTGGTCATGGTGGTGTCTGTACAACGGTGTGTGTCAGGACTCACAGAAAGATATACTCAGGGGAGGGTATAGCTCAAGTGGTACAGCGCATGCTTAGCAAGCACAAAGACCTGGGTTCAATCCCCAGTACTGCCTCCAATAAATAAATAAATAGGTAGGTAGATAGATAAACCTAATTCCCCACCCTCCGAAAAAAAACTTAAAAAAAAAAGTCACCTAGAAAATATAAAGAAAAAAATTGTAAAAGATACACTCAAGAGAATGTGTATTACTGTGTATAAATTGTATCTGAGTTTCTTAAAAGAGAAACAACAACAATAACAAAAAAGAATAGAAACTTCATACGGAAAAAAATAAAATCCTTGAGAGAAAAGTGAAAAAAAAATTTTTAAGAAAAAAAAAAAAGAAAATACTCAAGCTTGGAACTCACGGAGAACATGTTAGCCTCAACCATCAGTAAAGGGTGTCAGTGATTGTGATGAAAGAAGTCTTATCTAAAATAAACAAATGATTAAATTTAAAAATGGAGACATGAAAAAGACCCTAAATTTTTTCAAATAAAAAAATGAATAGATTTATAGATCAGTGGAACAGAATCAAGAATCCAAGTACAAACCCTTAGATTTCTGGTCAACTGATTTTTGACATGGGTGCCAGCACAATTCAACAGGGGAAATGACAGTCTTTTTGATAAATAGTTCTGGAACAACTGAATATCCACATGCCAAAAGATGAATTTAGGTCCTTACCTCCCACAATGTACAATTAACTCAAAATAGATCAGAGACCTAAATGTAAGAGCTAAAACTATAAAACTTCTGGAAGAAACTTCGGGAGAAAATCTTTCATAACCTTGGGTTAGGCAGAGATTTCAGATATAACAACAAAAGCACAAATGACAAAAGAAAAAACTGATGAATTATACTTCACCAAAATTAAAAACTTTTGTGCTTCAGATGACATCATTAAGAAAATTAAAAAAAAAAAACTTTTCGGGGGAAGGGTGTAGCTCAGCGGTAGAGTGCATACTTAGCATGCACAAGGTCCTGGGCTCAATCCCCAGTACTTCCGTTAAAAATAATAATAATAATCAAGTAAAAAGTATAAATAAATAAATAAACCTAATTACCTACCCCACCCCCACTCAAAACAAAAAAAACTTGTGAAAGACTGGAGGAAAATATTTGCAAATATATATCTAATTAGGGAATTTGTATCCAGAACACAACTGACCCTTGACAATGCAGGAGTTAGGGGTGCCAACCCCCAAGTGGTTGAAAACCCCCAGTATAACTTTACATTCAGCCCCTCCCCCTATATCCA